GTGCACTGTGCTAGACTAACTGAGACTTGTCACAGCACTTGTATATTGTTGCTCTCTCGTTGGTCTGATTGCTTCTTCTTTGTTGGTCGCTTTGGATAAAAGCGTCTGCTAAATGACTAAATGTGACCCTGGACCACAAAACCAGTCATAAGGGTCAATTTATCGAAATTGAGATTTATACATCATCTGAAAGCTGAATAAATAAGCTTTCCATTGATGTACACTAATGAACATTGTTAGGATAGGACAATATTTGGCCGAGATACAACTATTTGAATATCTGGAATCTGAGAGTGCAAAAAAATCTAAATATTGAGAAAATCACCTTTAAAGTTGTCCAAATGAATTCTTAGCAATGCATATTACTAATCAAAAATGAAGTTTTAATATATTTACAGTAGGAAATTTACAAAATATCTTCATGGAACATGATCTTTACTTAATATCCTAATGATTTTTGGCATAAAAGAAAAATCAATCATTTTGACCCATACAATGTATTTTTGGCTATTGCTACAAATATACCCCAGCGACTTCAAAAAGGGTTTTATCCAAAAAAAACAAACAAAACAAAACTCAGATCTCTCTGATTCTTTTATCTCACCTCTGCAAACTTTCTGTTGAGCAGCATTTGTTCAGCCAGCACGGACTGGTTGTGGAAGAGATGTGGCTGCATGTGACTCCACATGTGGGGGAACCACCAGAACTCCTTACTGTAGGACAGAAGCAGGTCATCTCCAAGATCCTCCTCATCTGTGCCTGAAATATAATTACATGGACACAAACGGTAAACATCTCGACTCTATTGCAAAAGCTGCCTACTAAAACAACATCCTAACTATCACAGAAGCTCATAAGTAACTGATGCTCACACATACCAAAACAGCATGCTGTTAGCATTTTGTTAAGCTAACGATGTGATATTTGCTTACCAGCATGGAAGAACTTTCCAGAGAATCCCAAGTTGAAGGTGAAATTGGGCACGTGGGTTCGGAGTTCGTTCTGCGTCTCCAGTAGGGCCTTTGAAACGGAGTTTAGAAATGTAATAAAAGTTGTTTAAACACACAAAACGCATTCAAAAAGCACACAGACAACAGACGAGAACACAAAAGAGATACATAGCCAAAAGACGTACGCCAACGCACGTATGCGCACAAGCACAGCGGTAACACAGTGCTAGAGGGACAGCATAAGCATGTCTGCTGTCTGTTCGTCTCCTGTGTTTGCTTCATTACCCCTCTCAGATTTAGCTCCGCATCTGCCTCTCATTTGATTTGTTTACTGCGCTTGTTTTTGACTGCCTGTCTCTCCAGTGTGACTCAATCAAAAGACTGATTCATATTTAACTGCACAGAGGTCCACAGACAGACAAGACGGCTTTGATTATGTTTGCTTTCTATTCCTTCCCTCGGCTGAACATCTGCATCGGGGCGCTCCGAAGATGAGAGATTCACAAGGAGGATGCAGAAAACTGCGTTTGAAATATTCATGCTTGCGGCGAGTCTTTGGATGCCCTTTGAACAGCGAGTCGTAAAAAAAATTATAAAATAAAAAAGGGAAATGGAAAGAAGAGGAGATATTTGGAAAAAGAACAGCAGAGGTTGGAGTATTGAAAAAACAGACAACTGATGATAGGAAAAGTGCTGTCACGTCATGAAAACTTTTGGTGAATTATATGGATCTAACAAACCAGTTTCTCAATGTTCTGCTTCTGAGGTGCTACAGACAGATTAGCATTGCATCCCTCTTCTGAGTTTTCATCCATGCCTTTTTCATGGCCTCTTCTTTCCCTCAATGTATATATATCCCTCGTTTTAAATGCTGGTCCAGTCAGTCATTAGGTCATAATTTTCACAGGTCCCAACGCAAAAAAATGTAACTTTTTACATTTTGAATAATTTTTAGTCAATTATGTAAAAATAATGTCAAACTTAAATCCTAATAATGCATGGAAATTACACAGCTATAAATGTAACTATTTGACAGCTACAAATTCATACAAGTTTGTTACAAAATAATTAAATACGCTGCACTGGTGATTTATTTTAATTTTTTCACTGATGCCTCAAAGACTATCACAAATCATTCAGAATTTTTTTGTTTTCTGACCTATTTCAGAAAACTTCATCCAAGTTCAGCAACACTGATGTATTTAAATTAGCAGAATTCACAATGTTCAGTAGATCATAGAACGTTCTCAGAGCACAAAAACATCTACGTGATTAACTTGTCATATGACATAGTGGCCAATAGGGCAGCATAAATTAGTCAACTGGCCAGAAATTATCTTACATTTTTACTATTGAGCTCTGCTTTCTCTCTATGCGCAAATCTGGATCACAGAAATGATAAGCAGAAAAGGAGCAGGCAAGAGAGTAATACGATAAAGAAAAGTGGAGAAGAGCATTAGTTTTAAGTGTATGTATACTGTGTGGTTATATGGCCCTTAATCCCAGACTTCAGACAGCTACACTTGAGTCAAACTAAAAATATATAAATGTGATAGAACTGATAAACTAGCAAACCATTTGGCATTTATTAAAGAAAAACTGCAGAAACATTTTTTTAAACAAAACAGCTCTCACCTTGACATCAGACACCTTCATCCTTGTGCCCTCCTTCCCAACAAAGATGTCATCGATATCCACCAGTATGTAGCGCTCAAGAGCCAATGAGAGACGTTTGCCAGTCAAGAAACTCACTGCGTCCACCAGTACCAGTTTGTGCAGCCAAAAGTTCAGGTTGTTGCCAAAGAGTACCCGCTGGATGCCATCATGAAGACCCAAATCCTGAACCACAGCCGCATGAAGGGGTCCAGGAGCTCCACTGGCCTCTGTACTCCGTCCCCGAGCTAACAGCACAGGCTCATAGGTGGTATGGTTAGACTGAAAGACCGTCCAGTCGTCCCCAGGTAAGGGACCGTGCTCCACCTCCCGGGCCTTGGTGATGAGCAGCAGTGGAGACTTGGGATTGACGCTACAGTCCCGTAAACCCAGATTGGAGTGGAGGAAGAGAGGAAAGCCCTTGAGCTGGGCGCTCTGCAAACTGTTCTCATTAGCCTTTCATGAAGTGTTGGAAGAAGAGAGATAAAAATCCACATTAAAGGAGCAATATTCACAGATTCATTCATTCATACTGTTAGTCTAGGGCTGGGTGATAAAACGATAACTATAATTATCGCGCTATAATTTTACTCAATAATAAGATATGAAGAGTTTGATAAATGTTCGATATAATGTTTATGTGCCAAAAGAAGAAAAAAACAGTGCAACTCAATTGAAGCATGTCACATAAACCATTTATCCACTCGACTCAAAGTTCAAACGGCAGCGCAGCGCGAGCTCAGTAGAGCACATGCGTTTACTTGCTGATGAGTCTCAGTCAGGCAAGCACTAAACAGCACTGTGAAATCCAGTGTGAAATGCTTAAATTCAGTGAAGAATGCAAACGATTCGGTGATTTAAACTAGTTTAAAGCCAGATGAAACAGCTGACAAACAGGAGAAACACTGTGCGCAACGATAAAGTCAGAAGGCTTTTTTAACCAACAAATCACCATCATTTACCTTGGATTTACAGTAGTAATGCTAGCTGCACCATGTTACTGTGTCAGAGATGTGGGATATTCATATTTAATTTTATTATATGATTAATGTAGACATGGATTAATGTATTGAAGGAGTAATGGAATATAATTTCAGTATATTTTGAGATTAAGCTATAGTGTTTTTGCATTTATACTAAATGTATTTACGCTACCGTTTTTCATACAAATACCTAAAAACAACAGTTCCATAGTTTCATTGTACAATGGTATTGAGGTGCTATATATTTGTGGTTTTAACTGTGGTTATCATGATCTAAAATGTATGCTACTATGGAAGAACAATGGTTAATTTTAATATAACTCAAATAGTCAGAATAATTCAATTTCACCATATAAAAATAATGGTTGTTACAATTTTTAAAGATTTTACTATTTTTGATCATGAAGATAAATTTAAATTTGCATCTTAAGTCACACTACTACTACTTAGGGATGTAATGGTATGAAAATTTCTTATCACGATTATAGTGACCGAAATGATCACGGTTATCTGTATTATCACGGTATTATTAAAATGTGCTGGAAATGTTCAAAAAGTACTGACACACAAATAATTTCACCAAGTTTTACATTTAAAATCAACAAACAACAACTAAAATGAGTTTTTGTTTGCATAACTAAAACAATAACATTGCCAATGATGTCCGGATTTTAAATGACAACATGACTGACAACAGTTTATATAATAACATGTTCAAATATCTAATGTAAATGTCAAATATTTAATGTAATAAAACTGTGTTTTATGCTTCAGGGCTCCAGACTCATTCTTCCCACTGGTCGCTCTTTTGCGACTTTCTCAGTTGGTCACACCAGCACATGATTTGGTCGCAATATTTTTATTTTTAGGGATTAATCAATGCATGCTGATGAGCTTTTATCATAGTTTATAGTTATATGGAAACGAAAGTGGTTAACATTCAACCCCTTCTTTTTCATCAGTATTATTTGTGATTTGAATTTTGTGAACAGGGAGTTTCTCTTTAGCTATGTTATAAGCCGGGCTTCGGATGCTTTCACTTTCGAATTTGCGATCTTAGTGTCACGTTTTACAAGAAAAGATAATTGTCTGACTTGCTTACATACATCTATACATATTTAACTTTTTAAGACTAAAACAAAAGAGTATAAACCAGGCTCTACACTCTATAAGCGCTGCGCAGTTCAAACGAGTAGCGCGGTTTCGTTATGCTTTCGGCTTCGTTTGCCTTTTGATGTTTCTCATATGCAACAGAAATTCAGCGTTTATGAGTTAAACAATGCGGTGGTCGCGCCAGTGCGACCACACACAAAATTTAGTCGCACGGGCAGAACAAATGATCGCAAATTGCGCCCATTTGGTCGCACTCTGGAGCCCTGTGCAGTACAGTATTTATTTATCCTCAGTTGTTCAAATCGCGGTAATCGAATACGGTTATAGTGATAATTAAAATATGAAACGGTAATACTAACCGTGGGGTATTTTATCACGATTTATCGTCAAACCGGTAATCGTTACATTACTACTACTACTCTGAACTCAAACATTTCTATAAGACAAAAAAGTAATATTAATATTGCAGCCTGCACTGCAAACTGTGCTGAACATACTCGTCATCAAAGTCAGGCAACACAAATCTGTTTCATGATTTGAAACAATATCACTCATTAGAACATGGAAAAACTAAGACATTAATTTTTCTATTAAGATATTTATTTTGTTGAGGAAAAATTACTGGAAAAGAATTAAAAAAAGTGAAGTGTTTGACCATAAAGAGTAGTTTAAAACCACAGCTAACAGTGCTCTTTCTACAACTTTCACTTAGGAGCAAAAATCTGCCCTTAAACTTTTAAATAAATAAATAATACATTTAAAATGTATCATGATAATTATCAATATAGATTGATATGAAAAATGTTATCATGATAATTTTTTTTGGCCATATCGCCCAGCCCTATGTTAGTCATAATTTTCTTTTACATGACCATTGTCTAGGGCAGTGGTTCTCAACCTTTTTTTCCACCGGGCCGCACTATGGTCCAAGTGCAAGTCTTGCGGGCCGCACGCATATCATTTACATATTACGTCAGCAATACAAACCAACCTGATTTATAATATTATAGCCTAAAT